TATATATATATATTATATATATATATACATAATTCTAGCTTACCCTTTCTATTTCCATGGTGGTTTGGACTGCGATGATCATACGTTGTATGGGAGCAGATCAAAACTAAGCTTTAGGAGCTGATGCAGGCAGGTGTTGTGACTTTTTGATGGCGGTACTACTAATGTACCTTGTATAGGTGTGCTTGATCAGCATTAGGATGTAGGATTATTTTGGGATGACTATATATATATATATCATATTTATATTTGTTTGGTTTCTTTTTATATACTCATGATAACTTATATGTATGGTATATTTCTCTTATTAATCCTGTATATTTTAGTAACTTAACTTTAGTTGCTAGTGTTAGTGATTCTACAAAGTGTATTGACTATGATGGGTCATTATATTGATAATTTTTAAATATATTTATTAAATATATAGATATAAAGTACCTTGACTCCACTAGTTAATTATTAATTACAATCAAAATACAAAATTTAAATATAATTAATGAAAAACTATTAAATCATAAAATTACAAAGTTTTTTTTAATGTCTTATATGGTCTTTCTATATAATAGGAGTATGTATTTATTATAATTTACATTTCAAATTTTAAATAATTTATATTAATATATTATTTAATTTTTTATCTTTTGTATTATTGATAAAAAAAATAACATTAATATTTGAGCAAAAATTAATTTAAAAATAAATTAATTAAGTGTAAAAATTAATTTTTAATATTTTTAATAAAAGATATATAATTAACCTCCATATATTAAACATGAACATCTATCTTACATGAGAGTGATTTTAAGAAATTTTCTTTGATGAGAGAGATTTTAGAAATTTTTTAACTTTTTTTATCTAATTCAATTTTTATTTATTATAATTATTTAAAATTAAATTTTAATATTTTTAAAAAATATCAATAAATAAAATAACTTTATACTACAAGATAAATTATTTATCATAACTAATTATTTAATTATAACTATAATTTAAACTAACTTTTTATTTTTATCTTTACATGTTGTTTTGTAAGGATTGAATAGTTGAAATTATTATATATTATTTTTATCATCATGAGCTGCAATTTTGTTTTAGAGGTATACGATATATTATCATCTTTTAATAATTTATATATAAATAAACTGAGCTAAATTATACTTTTACTTATTTATCTTATTTTTTATATTTATTTGGATCTTTTATTTTATAAATTGTTTATTTTAATATTTTATCTTTTATATTCGGATCTATTATCCTTTTATAACAAAATGATTATTTTTAATTTTGTGACACAATTTTCAGTTAATTTTGACTAATTTAATATGTGAAACTTATAACATTGTATTCACCTAAATAAAAACTATAAAATTCAATTGACGAATCTAAAAGAGCTACAATCATAGCAAAAATCACATGAAAAATATATCGAGTCTACAAACAACTAAAAAATAATATGAAAATAGATTTTTTCAATTATTCTTTGGAATTATGTTTATGCAATTTTTACCATGTTTATGAGACTTTTTGTTTGAATTTTAGTTGTGCTTAATAATTTTCATATAAATAAATTCAATGAAACAAATTTTATTTTTGAATTAATAAAAAAATTCAAAATTATGTCTCAAAATTAAAAATAGTTATGATTTTATAACGTCAAATTGATTTAAATTTAAGAAATAAAGAACTAAAATAAATATTTAAAAGATAAAAGAGTAAAATGAATCTTAAAAAATAAGTTAATGACTAAAAGTATAATTTAAGGCAATAAATTATAATGCAATCTTATTTAATTTTTTAAAAAAAATTACTATTTTTCACACACATTTTTTTGTATAACTCAAAATTTGATCAAATCTAATTTTTTAATTAATATAATAATTAATATTAAATAAATGTAATTTCAACTTATCAGTGACTGTATCTTACAATTAATATTAATATTGATGGTGACAAATTATTTTAGTCTATATAAACAAATACTTTTAATGTTTTCACTAACATATAGTGTACAAAGAGACATCAAGAATAAAGCTGAATATTGTTATTGATATCACAATTGTTAGATATGACTAAGCTTTCTTCCATCGAAATAATTTTCACCCTGCTTGTCGTTGTTGCATTAGGTTTGCTAATCTCGAAGTTTATAATTTCTTCACATCCATCAGTTTATGCTTAAAATCTTTTCATTGTTCAATAATTTGTTCTAACTTTGATTTTGTATTTTCAGTTTTTTCAGGGGCAAGCGAAACAAATCAAGTGAAAAGATGTGAAAAGGTGATACAACCAGGAAGCTGCAATCTCAGTCAATGTCAACAGACTTGCTACAACATGTATAAAAATTATGAAGGCTTGGGAAAGTGTATTGGCAATAATAAAGGAACTTTTGAATGTGTTTGCATCTATGATTGCTTTGAGAAGGAGTTTGGACTAAAGGTTTGATGTAATATTGGATATGTAATTTTGTTTTAGAGGGTAGAGAAGGAAGTCTATCAGAAGTTATTAATAAATTTATGCTTGAATTGACCAGTCTCATTCAGAGATAACCTTAATGAAATATCTATAAAAAGTCAATAAATACATTAATACAATAAAAATATTCATTCAATAAATACATTCATATATATAATCAATAAACTCTTCATTAAATAATATTAAAAGGATATAATTCAGTTGATCAAACAAGGTGCGTGAGTATTATACACTCACTTGATACTTTTTCTAAATTTCCATTGATATAAAAAAAATTACAATGAATAAATCAAAACTATCAAATAAAAGATCAAACAACTCGTGTTCTACCCGATAACCCATACTTAAGACACACATTTAAATCTATTTTCTCTATTACAAAATAACTTCGGTTTTAACATTTGAAAAATGTCTTTAAATGAATGAGGATTTTTAGTTTTCAATGTAATCTTAATTTTATTTTTCTTGATTTTTCCGTTATAAAATTTTCGACCACTACAATTAAAAATAATTTTTTTATTAAACGAGTGGGACTATCTTAATAAAATTACATAAAAAATGATAATTTATTATTATTTTTTAATTTGTGTTATCTTTTATAGTCTAAATCGGCAAAAGATATACATTCTTATGCATTAAAATGGCCTTAGGATTAGAGATAAAAAAATGTTGGGGAAGACTTGATCTAATATCTATCGTAAGAATTTTAATAGGTATGGCTTGACTTTTTTAAAAATCTAAGTTGATTTATTAGCTTATTTTACATTAGTAATATTAAATAAATTAATAATATTAATTTTAAATAAGTTAATAATGTTAGATCCTTAATCCAACGTTGATCTTATATGTGAATAATTATATATTAAAGACACATAAGATTATGTTAAATTAAAGTGATCTAATGATGTATAAATTATTTTAGCAGTTATGTATCAGAAAGGTTATGAGACCTTTAATGTGTGGTAACTAAAAGATAATTCTATTTTGTGATGGGTAAATATATAAATATCAAAAGACCTTATGATTGTCTATAAATAGGTTAGGTCCCTAGATGACACTTCGTTCTTTTCTTTTCTAACATCCCATTATCAGAGAGAAACAAAAAGATAATTAAAGGGTTCTCTCAAAAGAATACGTGTTGATCTAAAAGGTCAAACCGCACAACTCTCTTATCATCATGAGTTCAGGTACGTATATAGATGATAGTTTTCATCAAAGACTTGAATTTGGTTTTAACAATTAGTATTAAAGCCATTTATCATGTTTGATCATTAGGAATATTTTAGACATGTTTCTTGATTATAATATTATATAAATTTACCATGCATTTATAGCTGAAAGAAAATCTAATATATGTATCTTCTGAATATTATAATAAGGAGAAAAGGATTTTAATTATTGGATGACTTTTTTTTTGAAATTGAGAAATGGATTTTCGCATGCGGTGTAACATGAAATGTGGGTTGTTTGTTTGATTTTAATGAAGTTTGCTTCCTGTAAAGTTTATTTCTATAATTTGTATTCATTAGTATGGTTGAATGCAATTGATTGGATTGGTTTCAATTTCAATTAAAATTTTAATTAATTTTAAGGTGATATATTGCTTATTATGTCAGACGCATATTATATTTAATTAGTCTGGACTTTCGATTTGTGTTTGATACATTGTATTTGTCTGGTATATGATATATTGAACATTTGCAAGCATGTATTGAATTTAGTAAATTATATTGTAGTAAATTATATTGTATGAAAGGTATGATTTTGATATCAATTTTGGTATATACGACTAATGGGTTATGAAGAATCGAATAATAGTCTTTTATATTTTGACAAATTTTTCGATGATTCTCACATATTATGTATTAAATTGATATATTGTTATCTCTCTTTATGCTAATTGATTTCGATTTCAATTACGAATTTAATTCATTTTTAAATTGATATGTTACATATTGTAATTGATTTCAATTTCAGTGACACCCTCTACTCTAACATACATATACAATAATTATGAAAATATATTCTTGGAGTAAATAGATCTTTTGAATTAAAACCATGGTTCCACTAACATAAGAGTAGAGAATTCACATTCGTAAACATAAATCATGGTCAAATGCAGAATTTACGAGAAAATGGAACATGAGTTTTTCTAAAACAAAATGACAATAATAAAATATTAAACTAAGTCTAACTATGCCCGATATCACATATCCTATCAGAGCACGCACAATTGAAGCCTAAGCCTCATCACCAACATCCTCATGCTGATGATCACCTACAACACAATTTAAATGAATTATAATACAATCTTATTTAATTTTTAAAAAAAAATACTATTTTTCACACATATTTTTTGTAACTCAAAATTTAATCAAACTTAATTTCTTAATTAATATAATAATTAATATTAAATGAATGTAATTTCAACTTATCAGTTACTGTATCTTACAATTAATATTAATATTGATGATGACAAATTATTTTAGTCTATATAAACAAATACTTTTAATGTTTTCACTAACATATAGTGTACAAAGAGACATCAAGAATAGAGCTGAATATTGTTATTGATATTACAATTGTTAGAGATGACTAAGCTTCCTTTCATCGAAATAATTTTCACCCTTGTCGTTGTTGTATTAGGTTTGCTAATCTCAAAGTTTATAATTTCTTCACATCCATCAATTTATGCTTAAAATCTTTTCATTGTTCAATAATTTGTTCTAACTTTGATTTTGTATTTTCAGTTTTTTCAGGGGCAAGCGAAACAAATCAAGTGAAAAGATGTGAAAAGGTGATACAACCAGGAAGCTGCAATCTCAGTCAATGTCAACAGACTTGCTACAACATGTATAAAAATTATGAAGGCTTGGGAAATTGTATCGGCAATAAAGGAACTTTTGAATGTGTTTGCATCTATGATTGCTTTGAGAAGGAGTTTGGAGCTAAAGGTTTGATGTAATATTGGATATGTAATTTTGTTTTAGAGGGTAGAGAAGGAAGTCTATCAGAAGTTATTAATAAATTTATGCTTGAATTGACCAGTCTCATTCAGAGATAACTTTAATGAAATATCTATAAAAACGCATGATAAATTCAATCAATAAATCAAAACCATCATTAAATACATTCATACAATGAACATATTCATTCAATAAATACAATCAATAAATACATTCATTTAATCAATAAATTCTTTATTATACACTCACTTGATACTTGTTCTAAATTTCCATTGGTATAAAAAATTTACAATGAATAAATCAAAACTATCAAATAAAAAGATCAAACAACTCGTGTTCTACCTCGATAACCCATTCTTAAGACACATTTAAAATCTATTTTCTCTATTACAAAATAACTTCGGTGTTAACATTTGGAAAAAGTCTTTAAATGAATGATGATGTTTAAGGGGTGTATTGGTTTAAGATTTTATAAGATTTTAAAAGACTTTTTTTTTGTATAAAAGTCTGTCGTTGGTATTCAATCAGGATTTATGTCACTTAAAAACAATTCAGTGATATTCAATCTGGATTTTCAAGATTTCTTAAAGAGTCCATTAAAATCTATTAGTATTCATTTGAGACTTTTTACAACATAAAAACAATCCATTGGTATTAAAAAATATAGAGATTTTAAAATATTATTGTTTTAGAGGGATTTTGAGGACTTTTTAATAATATCTATAAATACTAAATTCATAAAACAATCACATCCAAACCTATCAGATTTTAGAGGATTGTTTGAAGTGACTTGTCAAGTGTTTCAAGAATTTTCAAGTGAGTTTTGCATCTATTTTTTTTTTATGCTCATGTCTTTTCCATTTTTTTCTCTTGCTAATAATATTGCACCACTGCTCATATATAATATTGTATTACTATTCCTATTATATTTTCCTATTTGGTAAAACTTCTATACGTAAAGGATAGTATTATTGACTTACTGTATTTTTCTTGTCGTTCTCTTTAATTGACTTGTTCTATTTATTTGAGATTGTTTCTCAATTATATAACACAGAAAACGCTTGAAATTTTCAACGGTAGTAATTTTTTTTATAACACGCGTCAAGAAAAGGAAAAGGTGAAAGCTAAAATTGATATCATAATCTCTATAATCAACCGTAGATCTTCAAGACCTTGTAATCAATTTAGGTTTATTAGAATATATATATATATATATATATATATATATATTTAAAATTTAATT